AATAATTAAAGCTTCATATAATCTAAATAATAATATCATTACTGAACCAATAAATAGTAATACTGCTACTAGCAATAAAGCTGCCTCTTCTTCATCTTCCTCAAGTATATATTCTTCTACCACAACTGTTCCTACTTCACAACAAAATGTGCTACTATCGAAATCTCCATTTTCAGATCCTGCAATTATTTCGGTTAGTTTTTTACTTGTTTAATTAATAAACAACAATAACAATGACGAATTGGAAAAAAAATTCTTTTGTTGATGTTTTTTATAAACATACATAGTATTCTTCTCAGGCACCAAACATAGTCTCACCAAATAATCCATTGATTGTTAATTTATCGAGGTAAAAAGAAGTAATAATAATAATAATGATTAATTAAACACGCATTTAAAAAAAAAATCCTAATTAAATTAATTTTTTTTAGAACGACATCGCCATTATTTGTATGTATTTTTTTCAAAAATCGTCTCTTTGTTTTAAATTAATATGATAATAATAATAATAATCGTTGTTTAACTACAACAGCAACAAGAAAATACTTTTTATATTGAATCCCAAACCCTAAAGAAATCTTCAACTACTACTCAGACAACAGGTTCCATTGCAGACACCGATTCAAAAGGTGACGAGGAGGAGGAAATACATGAGGAAGAAAATAATTACGGACATAATTCATCATCATCAAGAAATAATAAACCAAATGGATTTCATAGAGGCGATTCGAGCGCACTCGAATCAGATAATGGAATGTACAATCACAAAAGACCTTCAAGGAGGCGAAGGGTTATTGTCATATTTATTTATTTTTATCACTATAAATCTTTTAAAATAAAATAAAAATTTCTAACTTTTTTTTTGTTTTACTTTTTAAATAATAATAATATTAGAATGGAAATAGTAATTATTATTATAATTATTCTGAAAATCATTCAAGTAATTTTTAAAAAGATATAATTAAAAGAATCTAAATAATTATTAATTTTAAATCATGTAATTAATTAATTTCCCTCCTCCTCATTTTATCTTTTGACTCTTATAACATCCGTCACGCATATTAGCAAGAAGACCTAGAAAAGGACGTAATCAAACACATGAATGGGCAGGCGGTGATGTAAATGAATTTAAATCGGAGGAATTTGACTTTCAGGGCAACTTGGATTTATTTGATAAAGAAAAGGTTTTTGCAGAAATTAGAGTAAGCAATAAAAAATTTCATCTTCTGTTAGGTTACGATTAATGTTTTTTAATGTATTTTCTTCGACCAAAATATCCGGTAAGGTTGTCGACTCTATGTTATCATCCTCTTTCTCTTCTCCTGATCATCGTCATTCATGAATACTAGAAATTGTGAGATACGGATTTGTAATGTAACTATGGTAAAATATCACCCGAGCCAAGACTATATAGTTTCTGAAGCTCATTTACATTACCAATTGTAATATCATCATGTTTGTTGTCCTTGGATAATTTTTTAAAATTAGCATACAAAATTTTTTTTGCCCCAGTCAATATTAAATCAAGACCATCATCAACAATATAG